GGTGTAAAAGCCTTATTAGACTAATATTTAAACTAATAGGACCTGAAATTTTATTATACCAAAAAAATTAAGGGGTCACAACGCCTTATGTTTGAGAATGCGAACTTAAAAAATTATATAAAACGTTTAAGGAGTATAAAATTATAATTTTTTTCAAAGATACGATCATACCCTCTCAATCTATTCCTGCCAACAAATGATTCGTCTATAATTAATTATATTCTTTAAATTATATTCAGCATTGGCTGGATAAATCCCTTTTGTAGTTTACCCCACGTTGTTAGTCTTATCTTGGTAATAAAAGAAAAATAATAATAATAATTTAAAACGTCAAGTTGAGATTTATAAATAAAAACGTTTTCCCTATTATATATCAAACCAAACTGTAACGTTTTTAAATGAAACATGAGTTATTAAATATTAATATCGGTCAAATAATCCATTATTTTTTTAATATTATGAATTTATTATTAAATAAAATTATTTATGCAATTTACTTTTAAAAATTTTATTGACTTATGAAACTTTTAAAATGATTATTTGTAAGCATAAAGTTAGAATCAAACATTAATAGGGATAGAAATTTAAAAAGTTATATAAAACATTTAGGAAGTGTGAAATTATAAAGTTTTACGGATGCAAATTGAATTATCTATAAAATGTATAAAAAAATCTAAAGTATGTGAGAATTTAAAATCTCAAAAGTTACAATTATACCCTTTCAGTCTATCTCTACCAACAAATAATTCGTCCATAATTATTTATATTCTTTAAATTATATAAATAAATAAGAACTTATTGTATCACATGTTCTCAAAGTATAACTTTTATTTTAGTTCGGTCCCTTGATCCCTAAACTATGACCATCATTCTAAATTAGTTATTAAACTTTTAAACATTTTGATTTCATGCCCAAACTATGACCTTCAATCTAAATTGGTCCTCGAACTTTTTGAAAATTCAAATTTTATTCCAAACTATAAGTATATACTAATCATATCTCTCGTTAATAAAATTATTATGCCAAGTTATATTATTATATTATATGTTTGAAAGCAAAACAAAATTTAGGTTAAACTATAGTTGAAACTAATTACATATTTGGAAAAATTTGGGGATGAAATTAGAATATTCAAAAGGTTTAAGATCAATTTAAATGAGAGTTATAGTTTAGGGACATATGATGTAATTAACTCTTATAAATATTAACATAGCCTACGTATATAACTAACTTTTAGTGTCTTCTACACATACACGCCTTAATTACCTGGAAAAAGAAAGGGGATTTAAGAAAGTTTCGGTTTTAATTACTGGGAAATTAAACAGAAATGGAGTTCAACAAGTTTGCTTTCCTATTCGCTGCTACTTCTGACAACGGTAGCTCAGGACTGCTACGAGAATGATTACCCTTGCGTGTATTCATATGAGTGTTGCGGCGGCGCCTTCGGTACCTGCCGGCTGTGGTAGTTCCGATGCAGAGATGGTGAACAGGACGGGGATCAATTTATCGGCTTTGGTCTTCTATATTTGGTTGTGTTGGTGTTATAGAAATAAAGTTCAACATGAAAACTTAAGATTACAAGAGAAAAATAACATTAAACATTTATCTCACTATTTTTTTTGTCATTACCTCTAAGCTCTCTTCACTATTATTAAAATGACATATTTAGTCATAATCATATATTAATGTCCTCGGGATCATCATCATGTGTATACTAAACATTAGTGTTAGTAAACAAAAATCATAATATAAAGATACCCTCAACCATATGTAATTCGATGGAACATAAAATGATAGCACCAACGTAAAATCAACAAAGATAACATGATTTGGACATCGAAATTTAGACAACATAATTAAATTAATGCAAAGTTTCATAATCACAACTAAGAAACAAGTCGATATGAGCGTATCGTCTATAACATCATTCGATTAACAAAGTTTATACGATATGAATGCGCCCAGAAAGTTTTGCAAAATTTCAACAAAAAAATATGAAGACAAAACTTCTCTCGAATAATTCGGTGAGATTTAAAGGACAAATGTGCCATGTGAAAGCGGGAACAAGAGGGACTAACCAAACAATCAACGAAAGATAGGTAGGCGATGAAGATTTTCTTTTTGCGAACTTTGAAAGTTTGTTATCACAATACCAATAATTACTTCAACCGGGACTAAAACAATTTTTCCATTAATTGTGGAATCCATTTTTTGAGAAGGTAAGAGAACAAAAAATTATAATATTTGAGGGTTTTGTGATGTTATTTTTCTCTACACTCTACGAGTGTTTTAGGTATTGCATTCTAGTATGTAAAGGACAACCGTAAACATAAACAATGAACCATCATGCCAAATTTATATTTATAGCTACAATATCCACGTCTCAATCAAGAAATTCCAACCACCCAAACTCCCATCAAGAAGCTATAGTATTCACATTCAACCTATAATAGTTTTTAAAATATGAAGTACGATCAATCTCCGCAACGGAAGTTGGTGTGGTTTTTGTCGATGAAACTGCTAATGTGACAATAATACTCAGACAATAAAATCGATCATATATCATTCAGGCGATAAAACCTAATTTATTATTTAGGTAACATAACTGATCATATGTTAACACCAACATAATTGCACAAAAAACTTGAAATAATAATTTGAAACCATTATACTTTTGCACACTTACAACAACAAAAAGTCTATCTCTATTTATAGATTTTAGTGATTATTATATTGTTGACACGTATTAATAATTTAATCATTAACTATAAATATCTAGATGTTTCTATGAATAATTTTATATATAATATTAAATGTTATAAACATCTAGATTGTTTATAGATATTTCTAAATATATATTATTAGTATATTTTAATGATAAATATGTAAATAATTATTAAAAAATATTTTGAATTTATTTATATTTTGGCATGCAAACCTTTTAACACTCTATCTTTTAGTACAAATATCAACTTTACGGTCAAATTCTGAAAATAAAATCAAATACATATATTTATTATCTTCAAATAATGCAAAAGTTAAATCCTATATCCAACCATCCGGTATTCAACAAACTATCACTATTTAAAATTCTTCCTATTCTTATTTTATTTAGGTAAATTACATTAATCATTTAATTACTCTTGTTTTTATTTTTCTCCATCAAAAATTATTTTTTTATTTTGATTATCTGTCGTTAAACTTATAAAATTAATACCATCCTTAAAAGTCTAAAGAGGAAATCAACGATACTATTCTTCTCAAAATAGGACAGAAAACACTATTTGGAGAAAATAAAGAAATGGAAGTAGAGTAAATAGATATAATTTTGTTTGGATAAGTTGAAATAAGCAAAAATGCTCACTATTTATAGATTTGGAAGATGAGTTAAAAACATCCAGAAAACATCCCAACTATCACAAACTGGACAAACGTCAACGACGACTACAACATGCACTTGCGAATAACATATCTTTCACTACTAAACAAAAATAAAGAAATGCAAATACTCTGTAAATACTCAATTAAAGACATTTTCCCACTCAATATGGGACAAACCTAACATTTGCATTTCCAGCAATCTATAAATTCCATGGATTACTTGTCCAAGAAAGATGATTTCAATTCAAATAATTCAAGCATCGCATAAATTTCAAGGACCAACTTTTAAAAGGTAGTATGTATAGATTAGTAGCACATCATTATGTTGAATAACCAAAAGAATAGTATCTACATACTCATAATGAAATGTTTGAATAAGTGTCATGAATGAATTATTTTGTAACTCTAAGAACCCACTAGTTTAATTATTATGTAACTCTAAGCAGTTATGAGTTTAGATCATCAAGTTGAGATGAAGAAACGTACTTCCCTTGCATATATATTAAGCCCTCTGGATCATCATCATCATCATGTATATACAAATTAAGGAATCTTGAGCAACACATAAGAAATGGGGTGCAAGAAATCTTGTTTACCGGTGGTTGCAGTAGTGTTGGTGGTTGTTGTTTTAGCAACGTCGGCCGCAGTTGCAGTAGCCGAAGAAGGGTCGCAGAGCCGGGATACAACCGAATACGTTTATTCCGATGACTACATGTGTGAAACCATTATTTGCTGAGGGATGAAGGGTGTGCCTTGCAAAACCGATTCTGATAGTTGCAGTGGGAAGTGCACTACGAATGCAAGTAATCAACTTGTCTGCTCACCCTGGCCTAGTCCCCATTAGGAGATGGGTGACTCACTCACTTTATTAAACATATTCTCTCTTTAGTTGTGCAACTCGGAAAATAAATGTAGCTAATATTGCTATTGTCCCTGTTATTTGCTTTTGTTGCCAATAATAATTCAAAATTACGTATTATTATTATTATTATTATTATTATTATTATTTTATTTAAATTTTAAAATGTGATCAACAATCGATCGAAAAATAATACTACTATTGCAAAATAAATCATTATTATTAATTAAGAAAATAAAATAACAAAAATAAAATAGAATTTAACTATGTCGTAGATGAACCAAACATTTAGAAGAAAAAAACGTAATAGAATCACACACAACACATTGACAGTCATAGTCGTCCCTTAGATTCATACTCAAATATTTTTTTGGTTTCGTGAATTTTTTTTATAAGTTTGTGTTTAAATGTTCGAAGAAACTATGAACATTTATGTAGATTGAAAGATGCGGTCAATATAACTGTTGATTTTTACTCTTTTATGATAGAATTTAACTAATTATTTTTCGAATTTGAGTCTGTTGTATTGTCTTAAGTAATTTGTTTATATTTTGTGTTTATCTCCTAGGGTGTAATCTAATATTTGTTATTGTCTTTTTTCTTCCATAAACAACAATTGGTAATTTAATGGTTGAATGGCCTAATTGAAAAAAATATTAATTCGATGGTTAAAATAGAGTCGATACTATAGTTTAATGTCTATATAGGTACTTTACCCTACAGTTTAGTATAAAATTTAGCCGGCATCTGGCAGCTTCTGAGGTCACCAACTCTGTCTTCCTCAACTTTCCGATTTTTGTTTATTTTCGTTTTTCTCTATCACTTCCTCTTTTTTACAGCCGCATTCAATCTATCTTTATGATCAAACTTTCCATCTCTTCAAATGAAAGGTAAAAAATATTAAAACTTTTTATTCATTTTTCTTTTATTTTAATACAAAAGTTTTTTTTTTGTTAATTACATATCTTATGATTTGTTTTTATTATGAGAATTTTATGTCATCTTGTTATTTGAGTAAATATGGATGAACCTATTTTAGTTTATGGCTTATACCTCACATTTGTTTTCATTAAATTGATGTTACTGTGTTTTTGAATTTGGATTAGATTAAATTATCGATTTTTTTTTAGTTTAAATGATTATTTATGAATTATGAATGAACTCTTACTTCTGATTTGTTTAATAGTTACATATATTTAATAGTGATAACTGGTTTGTATTATTTGTTAAAATACTTACTTAGAGGTCGCCAAAATTTCCACCCCAAATTATTCGAGGGAATGTAAAAAATATATAAACTTTTAAGTGAATCAGGTCGAAAAAAGAACGGAATAATAATAGTTAATGTTGAGGTTAGCTGAATGCTAAAGCCAGTTCAAGGAACAAGGGAGGTGAAAATTATCGGTTTTAATGGAGTTGAAGAAATGATTTAGATGACACTCAACTATTAATTAAGAGTTTTTATCCATCTCAAAATCTGATAAAATTGCAAATTTTATGCAGCAATGTCAGGGAAGGTTGTTCAAAATGTTTTTATTGCACAATTCTACCAACAGAGTAGGCAGTTCGAGACCCGATATCAAAGGGACAGTTGTGCCCCTTATACGCGCACCTTGCCTCCTTTTCATGGAGGGAAGCTAGCATGGACTAGCATCTCCTCCATGCAAGTGCGCCACAACTTACCGAAATACCAGAGTGGTTTTGTTAACCGAGGAACCTTTTACTGCAGTGGTCTGTTCGAGTCTCTCTATCCAGTTCATATCAAATGCAACAATTTGTGTGTTAAATGAAACAAAAAGCACTAATTTTCTTTGAATTTCTATCATCCATAAGATCGACCTTGTCTTTTTCTTTTACATTTATTGTATCATTTTCTGGTTATCAAGGTAGACTCCTATCTATTTATAGGATGTCATTATATCTTTGAATTTTTCTTTTGTATAGTCCATTGAAATTTTAAAGTTTCTATCTTCTGAATTCTTTTATTTACATTGGGAACTTGAACTGCAGCGGCTTCATCTGCTACTGCAATACCATCTCTGGACAAAGTTGATTTTCTGAAGCTTCAAAATGGCAGGTGAGAAATCTATCCCATTGCATCCTGCATTTAAACTTATAAGTTATAACCTTCTTAATTGATATTTCAGCTTGAGTGTTCCTCAACCATTAATCCACATATGCTATCGTTCCTGTCTTCTTGGATTATCCAATCTTAACTGCATTTCAAATCTATTAATTATGTGTTATTGATTTGATTGATTTTAACTAATTTTTCTGTGCCCTTGAATTCTATTGATATAAGGCTAATTGAACAAATAACATTTCTACGAAGGTGAATCTAAACACCAAAAGAACGCAATTAACAAAATGCAGCTCAAGCATAGGCCAACCATATGTATACTCCGTTTTTTTAGTTGATAGGGCTACAGTATTTTAATGGAACCAAAATGTTTTACTGTTGCTTTTGTTTGATTTTAACTTGTTTCCTCGTAGTTTTTATCTATGGCTATCAAAGATTGCTTCTTCATTCATTCCCCTGATGGTCATACAGTGATATTCGAGGTGTGGCTGTTTCTGGTGTTGAGGAAGAGCCAGTAAGCCTTATTGAGCCAGTTACGGAGGCTATAGCTGCTGCTTTTGCTGCATGGTTGTTAGATAAGAAAAAGGCTGATGCATCTCAAAAGTTGAGAGTTTCCATTGGCCATGATTCTCGTATATCTGCACAACAATTACAGGTATCTCCCTTATGTTAGTGTTCAGATGTAAGTGTTGGTGTGTACCTTATCCGCCTTTCATCCCTAGATTTTACATTTTTTCTGTTTTTGAAGTATTTTTCTAGTCCTTGGATCTTCTTATTGTTACTTCTATCATCATCTGTGACATGAACTCTGTGGCATAACTTTCATATATGTTGCTGGTAGTTATTTTCAAATTTTATGTATAAAATGGTAAGAAAGAAGACTCTCGATTTCATTGGGGATGATGTTTCCATTTCTTAATGCCGGTTGTCTGTTTTTCTTCCATGACAATTTTGTCTATTTTGATTTTATAAATATTCAGAAACCAGGAGTGTATGAACGCTCTTTTTGACATATGTTACTGGAATCATTAATGATATAGCATATTTCCTGCCTATGAATAAACCTTTTTTGGTTTCTGAAAATCGAACAATTGGCTTTCCAGGATGCTGTTTCCCGAGGCATTGCTAGTGCAGGACTTGAAGTTGTTCAATATGGGTGAGTTATGATATTCCATTTTCATGTTAATCTGAAAATCCAATGACATTAATACCTATTTCAAGGTCATACAATTCAAACTGTGTCTAAGATTCAGGTAGTTCAGATATGAACTATCTAAGATAGCAGTCACTAGAGTTGTTTCTCAAGTACTGTCACTGAAAGTGTTAGCGTGCATTATTATCGAGAACAGAAGTTTTCTACATCAATATACTGTTAACTAAGTGACGTTCTTTTTCCTTTTTCAGTTTAGCATCTACACCAGCAATGTTCAATAGTACACTTACAGAAGATGAGGCATTTTTATGTCCAGCTGATGGGGCTATTATGATAACAGGTAGCCTATGGCTCTATTCTTCTGTGTGGATAGCTGCTAGCATCCGTGAACATGTAAAAGTTTTTTTTACCTATGCGACATGTAATGTAAGAGTTCACATACTCGAAGATTCAGCGACAGAGTCTCATTATCATTATACTTGATGAACAGTGTCATGGAAACCGGAATATCTTCAATTAAATTGATTTCCTTTTCGTAGTTAATTTGTTTCCTAATAAGCTATTCTCTTGTGAACAGCTAGTCATCTTCCTTATAACAGGAATGGGTTCAAGTTCTTCACTAATGCCGGAGGTCTAGGGAAAAGTGACATAAAAGACATCTTGGAACGTGCTGCAAAGATATACAGTGATTTCCTATCCAAAGGTTATTCGGTAAAAAATGCTCCAGAATTGGTCAAAAAGGTTGACTATATGACTGTCTATACATCTGATCTTGTGAAGGCAGTCCGGAAGGCTTCTGGGAATATAGGTAATAACCTCCTAAATTTTAAATGATTAATTATCGATCTTTCTTTCTTTCTTCATCATGGGAAGTGCAATATAAACCGAGCTGCATATATTTCTTTGGTGTTTATGATCTTTCACAAATGTTGCTTAAGTATATTTATCACAACTTGTTATCAACTATTAGAGAAGCCGCTGGAGGGATTCCACATTATTGTCGATGCAGGAAATGGTGCAGGAGGTTTTTTTTCAGTAAGTTCGCATGAGTTCTGTAACATCCTCCATGCCGGGTTAGTGATTAATTTGCAAAGTTTCAACATTTGGTGATTAAAGTAGAACAATTATATAGTTTAAAAATAAAGGTTGGTAAATATGAGATTAAGGTGAGGACCAAATGGTCATTTGCAAGGGGAATTTTTAATTAAATAAAATGCTATGGGGTATATGAGAACACGTGTATTCCAGAACCTCCCATTTCTTCTCCCTTCTTCCTCATTTTCTTCTCTTCCTTCTCTCAACGTTGGGCTTGCATTTAAGGTAAGAATCTGAACTTGATAGTTTCTTTGATGTTTTATGATTGGAAATGAAAGCTTGGATGTTATATAAGCTAAAGGAAAGCTTATATGACATTAAAACAACAAGATTAGGGTTTTAGAGATAGATTTGGAAAATGAGTTTATAGATGAGATTTTGATATGGATGAGGTTTTGATGTTTGAATCAGAATTTTGACTTGTCAATAAGCTAATTAAGAAGTATGAGGGGTTAGAATTCAAATTAGAACATATTGGAATTTGAGTTGGATTCTTAAATGCTACATGGAGAATTAGATTTCTAAGTTTTAGAGGTATTTAATGGATAATAATTAGTTTAAGTAAGTGTATGAGAGCTAAGAGTAGTAAAGGGATTGAAATATGTATGTTTGAGTTGAAATTAGATGATTTTCGGGCTAAAAATAGGATTTCTGGGTTAGGGGAATCGGTACCCATTCAAGGGGAACCGATACCCCTTCAACGAATATGATTTCCAGAATGCTAGAGGGGAATCGGTACCCCCAGGGGGGGAACCGATACCCCCTCATCGTATATGAATTCCAGATTGCTTAAGGGGAATCGATACCCCAGGGGGGGGAACCGATTCCCCCATGAGAAAAAGAAGAAGAAAGAAAAGAAAGCAAGACTAAGCTATTAATTCTTTTAATTAGTAAGCTATTAAAGCTTAATTTCAAGACACAGACGTCTGATGATCATCTTAAAAAAATTATGTTTATGTAGATACCGAGCCTACTCGAGTTCGGGAACAATCTACAAGTAGGATCGATCGAGGAAAAGGCAAAGAAGTATAGGTGAGTGCATATGCATAACATGAATACAGTAGTATATTCAGTTCTAGACTTGTGATAAGTCTAGATTCCATATTTTGACACATGATTACATTCCATATTATGATACATGACATGAATTTGTATTAAATGTATTACATGACATGAATTCATCTTATATGTATTACATGACATGAATATGCAGAAAAGTTCTATGCACTATGTGATAAAAGTATGTAAATGATATGCCTATGTGTTAAAGGTATGGAAATACTATGTCTACGCGATATGAACTACGGGAAATGTATAAGCCCATGTTATGTAGATGAGAACTATAGGTATAGTTGGCATGCCAAGGGTAGAGGGTATACTCGGTTCTTTAGGACATATGTATATCCTTTGGAACCTGTGTGAAGTCTTGAAAGACACATACTTGATCCATAGTATATGTATATGATTCTTAAAGGATTCTACGTGGTCCTTATGGACAAAATTCTACGGGCACTTCGGTGCAATTCTACGGGCACTTCGGTGCAATTCTACGGGCACTTCGGTGCATTTATACGAGCTGTGGTGACAGCATAGTGCACAACCTCACATTACTCAAATACCTTAGGTTCTCAATATGCTATCATGGGCCAATAAACTTATTAATACTGAATAATGAATGTTACAGTCATACGCTTACAGGTATGGATATTGTTAAAGTATACTACATTGATTAGTTACATGTTTGCATCTCATCTCATATGATCCTGACATATTCATTACAATACATTGCCTTATTATTGTTGCCTCACTAAGTCGATGACTTAGCGTGTGAGTGTTTCACACGTAGGATCCGAGGAAAATAGAAGAGACAGGTGAAGCAGCTTGACAGTATTACTCCTGCAACCATCAGATCAGAAGCAACTTATCAGTAGGTTATTTTGTTATGTAAATAGCAGTTGGCATGTAATTAAAGAGTTAAGTTGTGTATGCTCTGAATATTTTTGTAAACTTATATTACAGTATGTATATTATTGTATTTTCTTAATACAAGTCCCAATATTTTACTATTATTTATTAAGAGTGTGTTTTAAAGTCAATGTAGTATCTCTGACTCATATCCGGGTCGGGTATGGGTTGGGGGTGTTACATTTAATGGTATCAGAGCTATGGTTTAGCCGATTCTAGGCATAAACCAGAGTCTATGGAGTCTTTAAATGGAATACATGCCAACAAATGGTGATAACTTCTGATCTGGTATAGTATGAGTATGCTGTTTTGCTAATAGAACAATGTGTATATTCTTATTAGATGTCCGGACATAATAGCTCCCGAAGTGAAGCGGGAGAAGATAGACATGCTGAAAGCAGTAATTCACCTGCCCTGGCCAGGCAAGGTGAAGAACAGGCATCTCAAGGAGTGCCTGTGCAAGATCAAGATACGTTCTTCAGAACGTTAGACGCTATTCTGACGCGTCTTCAACCTCCTGCTCCACTAACTCCACGAATTAATGTAGCAAAAGAATTGAGAAGTTTAGGAGCTCCCGAGTTTAAGGGAGAAGCTGATGAAGGTCCGGTGTCAGCGGATCTTTGGTTGAATGATTTGAAAATCATGTTAGATGGTCTCCACTGTTCCGAAGTGGAGAAATTAGATGGAGCTGTGTCTTTACTAAGGGGTCAGGCGAGGATATGGTGGACGAATGTCACCATGAGGATGTCAACCGACCAGTTGACTTGGTCTTTGTTTTTAGAAGAATTTAAAAGCAAGTACATTGGGGATCAGTTTATCCGCCAAATGAAGCAGGAATTTATGAGTTTGAAGCAGATGAGCCGCTCTGTGTATGAGTACGAATGTGAGTTTAATAAGCTGAGCAGGTTTGCAGCCGAGCTTGTGCCTACTGAGAAAGATGCTTGTGAATGGTTCGTGGAGGGCTTGCGCCCTAGGCTTAAGGAAATGTTGATAGTATTAAACTTGTCCTCGTTCCAGGAGGTGATCAATCGTGCAAAAGCTCTTGAAAGGGCTCAGAATGAAAGATTTGGGGACTCAAGGGTTCAGACATCAAAGAGGACGACTACTTATTCTGGTTCAACACCAACAAAAAGGGGAAGAGACTCGGGATTTCGATCACAAACTAGATCAGAATCAGTTGCATCGTCTGCTAGGGGAGCAAGTCAGGCAAGACCTAGACAGACGCAGTCAGTAGAATCTGGTGCTGGGAGATCTACTCCAGGTCAAAGGAAACATTGTGAGCACTGCGGGAAAAATCATTATGGGGAGTGTCGTATGGCAGCTGGGACTTGTTTTCGATGCGGGGATGCTGGACATTTTGTCCGGGACTGTCCCTTGATGGTTGGGGAGCCGGCACCATCTGGAAGAGCTGGTTCTTTTTCACAAAGAGGCCGAGGAAGAGGCAGAGGAAGGAACCCGTCTGAATTCTCTGCTCAACCTGAAGTTCGATCCACTGCTCGAGTATACAACCTAAAGACAAGTGAAGACCGTGATGACCCTGATATTATAGCAGGTACTTTTCAGTTGTATGATAAATTGGTATTGGTACTGATTGATCCGGGTTCTAATTATTCTTATATTACAAGTAAGTTAGTAAAGGAGTTGGGGATTCCCTTAGAAGCTACGAGTAATGAGAATATAGTAACAACTCCGTTAGGCCAGAGTGCCCGGGTGAATAAAGTTTGTAAGGGGTGTCCCATAAAGATTCAGGGAATTGAATTCCCTGCTAATCTGATGGAATTACCCTTTGACGAGTTTGAAGTGATTCTGGGAATGGATTGGTTGTTTCGGTATTATGGAGATGTTAGTTGCAGATTGAAAAAGGTAACTCTGAAAAGTCCAGACGGAATAGAGATAAGTGTGAACAGTGAAAAGTTTAATCCGTTAGCAAATGTAATATCAATGATGTCTGCCAAGAAATTATTGCTACAAGGATGTCAGGGTTTTCTGGCAAATGTGATTGATTCAAGAGCTCAAGAGAAAAAGTTAGAGGAAATTCCAATAGTTCGAGAGTTCCCTGATGTTTTTCCTGCTGAATTGCCAGGATTACCTCCGGATAGAGAGGTAGAATTCCAAATAGAAATAATGCCGGGAACAGCTCCGATTGCAATGGCACCTTATCGAATGGCTCCGAAAGAATTGCAAGAGTTAAAGCATCAATTACAAGAATTGCTAGAGAAGGGATTTATCCAACCAAGTGTATCGCCTTGGGGAGCTCCGGTGTTATTTGTTAAAAAGAAGGATGGATCAATGCGTCTTTGCATTGACTATCGACAGCTTAATAAGGTGACCATCAAGAACAAGTATCCCCTTCCGCGCATTGATGATTTGTTTGATCAACTAAAAGGAGCTTCGGTATTTTCAAAGATCGATCTACGTTCGGGTTATCATCAATTGAAGATCCAGGAGAAAGATACTCCGAAGACAGCTTTCAGAACGAGATATGGTCATTATGAATTCATAGTAATGCCATTCGGAGTAACGAATGCACCTGCTGCTTTCATGGATCTTATGAACAGGATTTTTCAGCCCTACTTGGACCAGTTTGTTGTTGTCTTTATTGATGACATACTGGTGTACTCGAAATCCCATGAAGAGCATAGCACACATCTGAGGATCGTCTTGCAAATTTTAAAAGATAAAAGTTGTATGCCAAATTGTCCAAATGTGAGTTCTGGTTAAGGGAAGTAATTTTCTTGGGGCATGTGATCTCGGCAGTTGGGATTAGAGTAGACCCTCAGAAAGTTAAAGCTATAATGGATTGGGAAGTTCCTAAGAATGTGTCTGAAGTTCGGAGTTTTCTGGGACTTGCCGGTTACTATCGAAGATTCGTTAAGAATTTTTCGATGATTGTGCTGCCTCTAACAAAGCTAATGAGAAAGAACGTACCATTTGTTTGGACTTCCGAATGTCAAGAAAGTTTCGAAGCTTTAAAGAGAATTCTGACGGAAACTCCGATATTGGTTCAACCGGAATCTGGCAAGAATTTTGTAGTATACAGTGACGCATCCCATAACGGGTTGGGGTGTGTATTAATGCAAGAAGGAAAAGTGGTAGCGTACGCATCGAGACAGTTGAAAACACATGAAAGGAATTACCCCACACATGATTTAGAAATGGCTGCGGTAGTATTCGCTCTCAGGATTTGGCGTCATTATCTTTATGGGGAACATTGTTACTTATATACGGATCATAAGAGCCTGAAGTACCTGATGACTCAAAAGAATTGAATTTGAGGCAACGTAGATGGGTAGAGTTCTTAAAGGACTACGATGTGATAATTGACTATCATCCCGGAAAGGCTAATGTGGTCGCAGATGCTCTGAGTAGAAAGACGTTTGCAGTTTTACGAGCTATGGATGCAAGATTATCTTTAACGGGAGACGGTGGTCTTTGTGCAGAATTAACCCTTAAACCAGCATGGTTGGAACGAATAAGAGAATTGCAAGGTAAAGATGAAATGTGTTTGAAAAGAATTGAGCAAGTAAAGAATCAAGAGATTAAAGACTTTGAGATTAAGTCAGATGGAAATATATATTGTAAAGGAAGAATTGTAATACCTGACAATGAAGACTTGAAGAAAGAAATATTAACAGAGGCTCATTGCAGTCCGTTAACGATGCACCCGGGTGGAACCAAGATGTATATGGATTTGAAGGATCGATTTTGGTGGTCAGGGATGAAGCGAAGCATCACAGAATTTGTGTCTAAATGTTTGATATGTCAACAAGTCAAAGCCGAACATCAAGTTCCATCAGGATTATTGCAACCGCTTTTAATTCCTCAATGGAAGTGGGAAAATGTTACGATGGATTTTGTTTCGGGGTTACCCTTGACTCCAAACAAAAGAGAATCAATCTGGGTAATTGTTGATCGATTAACTAAGTCAGCGCATTTCCTCCCTGTTAGAACGGATTTCTCTATGGAAAAGTATGCAGAGCTGTATATTAGAGAAGTTATTAGATTGCATGGAGTACCTGTTTCCATAGTCTCTGATCGGGACCCTCGATTCACTTCTAGATTCTGGAAATCTTTGCATGGAGCGTTGGGGACTCGTTTAAACTTTAGTACGGCTTTTCATCCTCAGACTGATGGGCAATCAGAGAGAACTATTCAGATATTGGAAGACATGTTGAGAGCGTGCGTAATGGAATTTAAAGGATCATGGGAAAAGTATTTACCGCTGGCAGAGTTCGCTTACAACAATAGTTATCATTCGAGTATCAAGATGGCTCCCTATGAAGCATTATATGGAAGAAAGTGTCGTACTCCATTAAATTGGTATGAACTCAAAGACCGAAGTGTTCTTGGTCCGGATTTAATTCAAGATGTAGAACAGAAAGTTCGAGGAATTCAGCATAACCTCAAAGTGGCCTCTGATCGGCAAAAGTCCTATTCTGATCTTAAAAGGAAAGAAATTGAATTTCAAGTTGGAGATAAGGTGTTTTTAAAAGTGTCTCCATGGAAGAAGGTGTTGAGATTTGGTCGGAAAGGAAAATTGAGTCCTCGGTTTATTGGACCATATGAGATTGTAAAGAGAGTAGGACCTGTAGCATATCAGCTATTTTTACCCCCTGAGATGGAAAAGATACATGATGTTTTTCACGTTTCAATGCTTCGAAGATATAGATCTGACCCTTCTCATATCGTGACACCAGAAGAGATTGAGGTTCGTCCTGACTTGACTTATGAGGAAGAACCGATTCAAATTTTAGCCCATGAAGTTAAGCAATTGAGGAACAAGACCATTCCTTTGGTCAAAGTGTTGTGGAGGAATCACAGAGTAGAAGAAGCAACGTGGGAGCGTGAAGAGGATATGCGACATCAATACCCTCATTTGTTCGTGCAATGAAAATTCGAGGACGAATTTTCTTAAGGGGGAGAGATTTGTAACATCCTCCATGCCGGGTTAGTGATTAATTTGCAAAGTTTCAACATTTGGTGATTAAAGTAGAACAATTATATAGTTTAAAAATAAAGGTTGGTAAATATGAGATTAAGGTGAGGACCAAATGGTCATTTGCAAGGGGAATTTTTAATTAAATAAAATGCTATGGGGTATATGAGAACACGTGTATTCCAGAACCTCCCATTTCTTCTCCCTTCTTCCTCATTTTTCTCTTCCTTCTCTCAACGTTGGGCTTGCATTTAAGGTAAGAATCTGAACTTGATAGTTTCTTTGATGTTTTATGATTGGAAATGAAAGCTTGGATGTTATATAAGCTAAAGGAAAGCTTATATGACATTAAAACAACAAGATTAGGGTTTTAGAGATAGATTTGGAAAATGAGTTTATAGATGAGATTTTGATATGGATGAGGTTTTGATGTTTGAATCAGAATTTTGACTTGTCAATAAGCTAATTAAGAAGTATGAGGGGTTAGAATTCAAATTAGAACATATTGGAATTTGAGTTGGATTCTTAAATGCTACATGGAGAATTAGATTTCTAAGTTTTAGAGGTATTTAATGGATAATAATTAGTTTAAGTAAGTGTATGAGAGCTAAGAGTAGTAAAGGGATTGAAATATGTATGTTTGAGTTGAAATTAGATGATTTTCGGGCTAAAAATAGGATTTCTGGGTTAGGGGAATCGGTACCCATTCAAGGGGAACCGATACCCCTTCAACGAATATGATTTCCAGAATGCTAGAGGGGAATCGGTACCCCCAGGGGGGGAACCGATACCCCCTCATCGTATATGAATTCCAGATTGCTTAAGGGGAATCGATACCCCAGGGGGGGGAACCGATTCCCCCATGAGAAAAAGAAGAAGAAGAAAAGAAAGCAAGACTAAGCTATTAATTCTTTTAATTAGTAAGCTATTAAAGCTTAATTTTAAGACACAGACGTCTGATGATCATCTTAAAAAATTATGTTTATGTAGATACCGAGCCTACTCGAGTTCGGGAACAATCTACAAGTAGGATCGATCGAGGAAAAGGCAAAGAAGTATAGGTGAGTGCATATGCATAACATGAATACAGTAGTATATTCAGTTCTAGACTTGTGATAAGTCTAGATTCCATATTTGACACATGATTACATTCCATATTATGATACATGACATGAATTTGTATTAAATGTATTACATGACATGAATTCATCTTATATGTATTACATGACATGAATATGCAGAAAAGTTCTATGCACTATGTGATAAAAGTATGTAAATGATATGCCTATGTGTTAAAGGTATGGAAATACTATGTCTACGCGATATGAACTACGGGAAATGTATAAGCCCATGTTATGTAGATGAGAACTATAGGTATAGTTGGCATGCCAAGGGTAGAGGGTATACTCGGTTCTTTAGGACATATGTATATCCTTTGGAACCTGTGTGAAGTCTTGAAAGACACATACTTGATCCATAGTATATGTATATGATTCTTAAAGGATTCTACGTGGTCCTTATGGACAAAATTCTACGGGCACTTCGGTGCAATTCTACGGGCACTTCGGTGCAATTCTACGGGCACTTCGGTGCATTTATACGAGCTGTGGTGACAGCATAGTGCACAACCTCACATTACTCAAATACCTTAGGTTCTCAATATGCTATCATGGGCCAATAAACTTATTAATACTGAATAATGAATGTTACAGTCATACGCTTACAGGTATGGATATTGTTAAAGTATACTACATTGATTAGTTACATGTTTGCATCTCATCTCATATGATCCTGACATATTCATTACAATACATTGCCTTATTATTGTTGCCTCACTAAGTCGATGACTTAGCGTGTGAGTGTTTCACACGTAGGATCCGAGGAAAATAGAAGAGACAGGTGAAGCAGCTTGACAGTATTACTCCTGCAACCATCAGATCAGAAGCAACTTATCAGTAGGTTATTTTGTTATGTAAATAGCAGTTGGCATGTAATTAAAGAGTTAAGTTGTGTATGCTCTGAATATTTTTGTAAACTTATATTACAGTATGTATATTATTGTATTTTCTTAATACAAGTCCCAATATTTTACTATTATTTATTAAGAGTGTGTTTTAAAGTCAATGTAGTATCTCTGACTCATATCCGGGTCGGGTATGGGTTGGGGGTGTTACAAGTTCATCAAACTGCATTTCCTTCTTTTTGTTGATAAAATTGTGACGGCAGTTTGTTTACGGGGTTTGTCCTAAACGGTCTATTCTAAATGATTTTCCCAGGCTAAAGTACTTGAGCCTCTTGGTGCCATTACTTCTGGCAGTCAGTTCTTGGAGCCAGATGGTACTGTTTTGTCTTGGAAAATTTCCCCCCCTTTTTTTTTTGTGTGTGTGTGTTTACTTATTAACTTTATTGGGAGATATGTGGTTGTGGGATCAGGTATGTTTCCTAATCATATTCCGAACCCTGAGGATAAGGCTGCAATGAAAGCTATTACCGAGGCAGTTCTTAGCAACAAGGCCGACTTGGGAATCATCTTTGATACAGATGTAGATAGGTAATAGCTTGACTACCTATACATCAATTTTATCTTCTTCAACTCCTTTTCTTTATCCTCTCTGATGAGCATTGTCTTAAAAGGTCTGCTGCTGTGGATTCCACCGGTCATGAACTCAATCGAAATCGCTTGATTGCTTTAATGTCTGCCATTGTTCTCGAGGAAGTAAGTTTTTTCCCGACTCTATGTACAGTTTCTATACCCCCTCTATAAACAAATGGAAGTTTCTTTAAATTTTCTTTTTTCAATTCCGGTTTTCCTCTCACATTTAATCTCTTCATTTTGTTCCATTCAGCATCCAGGAACAACTATTGTTACGGACAGTGTGACTTCAGATGGGCTTACGTCATTCATTGAGAAGAAACTTGGTATCATAAAAACCAAACTTACATGCATCTAATTGCTTTGTTTCTTCTAGAGAAGACTCATAGTCTGAATTTCTTTTAGGGGGAAAGCACCATAGATTCAAAAGAGGCTATAAGAATGTCATTGATGAGGCGATTCGTTTGGTAAGTTTTATATTTTTGTCTTAGTTTCTGATATTTATATCAGTTATAGTTCCGCCTTGGAGTGCTATCTAAACAAGAAAATGGGATATCAACAACGTAATACTAATCATCTCACCCAAGCACTAGCGCCGAGCATTAGTCCATTGCCATTTACAAGGTAGATGGACTTCAATCAACAGATCGATATTAGCTCATATAGGAATGAGCAAAAACTCATCTGCATGCTAATATAGTCATTGATGATTCTTGGTCCATTTTTCATCATTCGGTACTGAAGATCATTCATTGTCACCTGCATACACCATGGTTGATCATCTTGTTAAACTTTCAGTTTGTTATCCATACTAATGTAAAATAATTGCTGACAGAACTCTGTTGGAGAAGAATCACATCTAGCTATAGAAACCAGTGGCCATGGAGCTCTCAAAGAGAATCACTGGCTTGATGATGGAGCATACTTGATGGTAAGCCATTTGATTTTATTTTGGGGATAAGCCTATTCTTGCATATTAGGTTGGCCCGTATATTTCAACAAAAACATTAACTTAAATGCACATACGATGTCATTTGACCTTCTGTTGAGTACAGGTCAAACTCCTAAATAAACTTGCTTCAGCAAAGGCTTCCGGTAGAGGTGATGGAAGCAAAGTTTTAACCGATCTGGTTGAGGGTCTGGAGGAACCGGCTATTGCCGTGGAGCTGAGACTAAAGATTAATCAGAGTCATCCCGATATTAAAGGAAGGTATGGTGCACTATATTGCTCTGATCATTTGATGCCCCATGGGTTTCTGTTAAAGTCGCTTACAGTTAGAAACTTGCAGATCCTTCCGGGAATATGGGGAAGCAGTGCTGCAGCACTTGGAAAACTCCATTGCTTCGAACCCCAAGCTTCAGAAAGCCCCAGTGAACTATGAAGGGGTAAAGTCTGATAGATACACATCGACTTTGTAATTTTTCACCATCTTACCGGTTTCACTATCTTGCTTCTGAACACAGGTTCGAGTTTCGGGATTCGGAGGATGGTTTCTTCTGAGGCTTTCGCTACACGATCCTGTCCTTCCTCTTAACATCGAGGTATGAAAATAGTATCCAACAAACTTCGTAAGTAGTTACAAGCACTGGTATTCATGGATTTGATAATAATATGAACGTGTCATAGGCGCCAAGCCACGAAGACGCTGTGAAACTAGGGCTCGAAGTAGCTTCTGCTGTGAAGGAATTTCAAGCTTTGGACACGTCTGCTTTAGACAAATTTGTCCAACCCCACTGAAATCTATCAGCTTTTGAGTTATTTTGTTGCAATAATGAGCTGGACTTCCTACTGTAATAATGGTAGTTTTGAGGTTGAGGAAGTTTCTTTGTATTTCTTTTTTGAGTAGTGACCTTAAACAGCTAAGAACTTGTTCAAGTTTATAGGCAATTTTCCAGGTCCCTAATAATAGAGATCCAATCATATCATCAAATCCATGGCTTTATACCTATATTTCGATTATTTTTCTCGAAATATCGAATACTTCTATTCAAATATACGAAAATCTTGAATATATTTGTATCTGATATTCACCTTAACTTGAGTAAACATAGCTTTATGGGTTGTGAATTGCGATACTTGAAGTGATTATGATATGCTAATGCTTTGTTTTCACAAGAATTTCTACCAAGACCTCGACTTCGAATTAATGAGCTATCTGGTACCCGAACAAGACAGCGAAGACAAAGCAGCTCGATGAAACTAAATCACATTGTAGGTTTCTTCCTGATTGCAAACATCTATATCATCAGCTTTGTATAGATCAATGGCTGAATAAGGATACACAATGTCCATTTTGTCGATACAAAACCGACTTGAAACATTAACATTACAAAATAAATACAGTAACTACAAATATTTGAAACGAATCCGGCAGGTTTAAACTATATACAAACTGATTTCATTTATCCTACATATTTGCATCTTCGACGAGTTCTTCGATGATACTGCTATGTTTGTACACAAATTCTATGCAGTGGTAAAGTTGTTAAGAAGCTTAATCATGAAGTTGAACTTCATGTCCGGTGCGGTCTTCGGCTTAGGCCAGTTTGCTCCTTCTGGCACCCTAATGCATTTGAAACCCTGGTCTTTGTAAAGTTTTGTGGAGCTGGGGTTGTTCAAATCGCAATGCAAAGCAACGGCACGACAGCCCCAGCTCCTTGCTTGAGCTTCTGCTTTAGCTATGAGCCTTTTAGCTATTCCCTGCCGACGGAATCTCTCCCGAACGGCAACATTTGATATGTATGCAATTCCAGTCCTACCATAAAGATTCTCGGGTATCATTTATTAATGACGAGATTAACAAGTAAAATACTTTCTGCATGTAAAGAGTTAACTTCAATCAAGAACAAAAAGTAACGAAATACCGACCAATGTTCAATGCACGACAACATTTACAGCAGATCTAAATATCTAATCTACTATACCTGCCTAAAACCAGAACCCTAGCATCTATAGAACACGGATATATGATGCCTCAAGTTGAGAACTGTGAATTGATAACTTATTCCATTCTTCTCTATTTGATAATCGTTATTTTTCTCGTCAAAATTTCATGCATTCTCACCTCAATGTGTCCTAGCCAGAAAAACCGGTTATTTTCACTAGATAACATTGAAGGAGAAAGAGATTTAACTGAGCTACTGGTATCCTCAAAGGTTTTAACAGCCAAAAATATCTGTCACGTAGAACTGTTCTTTAATAACGAACGTTCCGCCTTGTGCCAGAAATTTCTTTTTTAAGACACTGACACTAGGCATCCTTACCAACTATTGCTTATTCATACCCTAAAGATAAGGGATGCCGGAAATATTTCCAAATTTTTAAGACATTGTTCATCCTCTAGGGTATGGAAGAAATAGTCCGTAACAAAATGAAAAATATATAGCACAAAACAACAACGTAATTTGATAATCTATGTAGAAGCTTTGGAACATATCCAGCTTCTGGTAGTATTCACTTGGACTCTCATTGGTTACGAGATCTTGAATGATTACAACGGAGAAAACCTCTGTGCTTTTTTCCTTTCCAGCATTTCAGCTTGAACGGGCAGACAGAGGTTTCAGTTAATCAAACTAGGTCAGCGAAAATAGTAAACTAATGGTCCTGAAAGCCATTTATACAGCTTCAGAATAGTTATTTTGAACTAGAACACACGGATCATAAGTACTCAACCATAATCAGTTAAAAGCCTTAACTGTAATCGAACTACAGCATTTCGGAATTGTTAACAGATTCTGAAGACCATAAGTGTTGTTTATTGATAACATTAAGGGGTGACTAGACGGCTATGGTAAATTTGATGAGCTGCATTTATGCAAACATAAAATAAAAAAGTTTAGGACATTGACATCTTGCAGAATAAGTAGTTAACGGTTAATAAAAGAAGTTTCTTCGAGTAAATTTCAACCGGCATGTCGAAGCATTAAATGGCATTAAACTAGTATAGTCAAGTATCAAATAATTAAAATCACCTTCTCAGTCGAAGTGGTCCTTTTCGAGGAAGAAAATCAGCAACAGTATCGACGGTTAATATACCAGTCACATAACCTTTGTTAAGACTAAATTTCCCATTGAAACCTCCGACTTTGAAATCGTCAGCTCCAATAAAAAACGTGTCGTCAACCGAACCACCGATGACAGCAACCAAACATGTTCTCCTGCAACCAGTCGGAATCGAGAATCCGGACAGCATTGCCACCAGTCTATCAACTCGTAGCACGAAATCCAACGGGAAGGAATACTCGGGAAAGAACGAGCTGCAGTGAGTCTCGGCCACTTCCCAGCAGTCCTCTAACCGTGCCTCCCGAACAACAATCTCGGGAGACACGATCGGGAAGAGGTCGATGAATTGAGTAGCTCTACATGCTCCTGCACACAAATAACCAAACAAACAATGAACAACATCAACATTTCCAACAAATATAGCCTCTAATCATACCAATTTCATCGCCAACAAGACATATAATCAAGCAATTGGCAAAGTCAATGCAAAAACAACAAAACACCCAAATCCAACAAATCCATGCACAAACAAATCCACATGTTGACAAACACCAAAACCCCATTTTTTGTATTGAAAAAACATCAAAGAAATTCTTTAAAAAAACACCCATTAAAGACAGAATCTTTACCAAATTTGGGAACTGATGAGTCATGAGAAACCCTGGGAGGAGGAGGAGGAGGAGGAGGAGGAGAAAAGGGTGGCGGCTGCTTGATTGAAAGAGGGGATTTGAAGGAAGATGATGAGGACACGGTGAGTGAGGTGCCCAAGGTTAAGCTCCGCATTTCTAGGAGACTTTGGGCTGTCTCTGTTTCACCTCTCACTTGTCTCTCGCTGTCTTCTAATCTCTCCGGTGATTGTTTGATTGTTGAATCGAAGGGTAAGAATTACGAAGGAAGCAATAGATTTTGTTAACTAACAGACAAAAGTAGTAAGCAGAGGTAATAATTAAGCAATCTTTGGACACATATTTCGTTTACTTTTGTGTGGTTTGGTTAGCCTCTCCTTCTTCATAATCATCGTTAAACAACAACAACAAAACCCTGACCATAATCATCGTTAAAGACTACGATAAAAAAAAATTCTTTTTGAAAAATAATTTGAACCTGTTTCTTTTTCTTTTCGGTAAATTATATATATTTGACCGAATTAAATGGAATCAAATGAAAATATTAAATTAAGTAAAATTTGTACTTTTTTCCAATATTTGTTTGCATTTAATTCGATGATGGCCAGTGCCGATCAATAATGATAGTGATAAGTGTTGGTTAAAGATGAGAGATTTTGATCGAATTTAATGATTAAATTGATATTTTATTTAAAATTTAAAGATTAAAATAATATTTATTTTAAAATTCAATATCAAACTAATATTTTATCTAAAATTAAGAATCATATTAAAAACGAACGTCTTTTAATTAACATGTCATATTTGATGCCATCAAACTAATATAAGTTAATTATTTGATGACAGAAATGTAACAATCAATAATATATATACCAAAATTTAATAAATTAATAATATAAGTGGCTAAAATTTTTGATGACATCAATTTAATAAATTAATAATATAAGTGACTCTATTATATAATATGTATAATGTCAAAAAAACTTCTAACATTTGATTAAATAGTTATTTTAATCTTTATTATTTTTTTGAAGTATGTTGGCCCTCAATATTCTATTTTAGGACAAAAAGGCCCTTTGTAGAAGTAATCATTTAATTAACATGTGATTAACACTTTAAAAATAAAGATTTTTTACCTTAAAATAAAATATTAAAAGTTAAAATACTCTAAAGAATGAGAGTTAAAATAATTATTTAATTAAACGTTATGAAATTTTTTATTCTAAAATAAAATGTTGAACCAAAAATACTAAAGAAAATATGAAGATCAAAATAACCATTTTGATAAAAGTTTGAGGTTAATTTTGGCGCATATATAATAATAATATCCAACTCGTAATTCAAACCCGGTTCATCAACCTCCAAATCGGGTCATATAAATACCCGAAGTCCACGGAAAGGTCACTCATTTTCCAGATAGGCAGGCGGAGAAACGGTTTATTTTCGGGTCACCACTTTCCATCCCCTTGAGAGATCCCAGCGGCCGGCGGGACCTCTCTTTCTACCTTTTCCATCTCCATTCTCCGATAACCTTAGTAAACCAAGAAAGCTACAGTAATATTTGAACCTTCTTCTAGTATCTTCTGGATATTTCTCTAAAAAGTAGTTAGGGTTAGGGTTTTGGTAGTTTTTTTCTCCCTTTTCTTTTCCTTTCCCAAACTAGGAAAGAGCCATGTATGGTCTCCATCGGTCTTCGAGCGCGCCATTAAAGAACGGTCTTCCTCCTCAAGAGCTCCTTGACGATCTTTGCAGGTTTCACTTTTTTTTCAGAGAATTTGGTGTTTAAATTCCGTGATCGTTGTCTTTTTGGTTTATTTTGAGTAGCTTAGGATTTTTTGGTTATAGAAGAAGTAGCTGGATTAAGCTGTTTAATTGTTAAAGTTAGGTTTATTAGCACATGATTTTTATGTTCCTTGTTTAGAACTGTCTGTATTGAAGGTTCTTACTGTGATTAGTGGTAGGGAATGAACTTATTATGCAAACTAAACCTAGTTTTATTGCACATTTTGGTATCATGAATTCTTAATTGAAGTGCTCTAGCACTTTGAAAAATAATGTGATTTGGAAGCATGGTCCTTTGCATTATCTGTCAAGCACATTGTATTATCTTAACAAATTAATAGTTGCTAATCGAGGGTCATTCTAGCTATATACAAAATCGTTGATTTTTAAAAAAGATGAATAAATTTGTGGAACTACAGCGATCTATGGATTCGGTTCATATCTCCTGAACTATGTACTAGGATGAAAGATCTGTTGTGTGCGTTCTTTAGAATATAGACTTTGAGTAAGTAAGAGAAGGTTGAGTCAAAATAATTCGTTTTTTTTCCAAGCAGCTGTAGCCTTTATGCTGGGTTAACCAGTTAAGTTTAAGGTTTAAGCTCAAGAATGTTTAGATGTTAGATTGTGTTATAGGTAAATCATCTGTCCAAGTATAACACAATAGAATTTTTCCTACTAATTATTCTTTGACAAGTTGTGTACTAGTTTTTCACTGGATTTATTCTCATCAAACCAGCAAAACGCCAAGGAAATTGATTTTCTTTATAGCAAATTTATTTCTTATGTTTCACTGGTATGATCCAATTATTGGCTGATAGTTTGTTTGTATGATTTTACTCCCATGCTTTTTTTTATTTCCATGAGTATCATCATGACATTAAAATCACTACCATGATTAGGGAAGTAATTTCTTTTTCTCTCTCGATCCTTTCTGTTTTACTCTTTTCCCCTTCTGCTTTTATCTAAAGCTTAGTGCTAATAATTGTTGCGCAGTCGGTTTGTTTTAAATGTGCCGAAAGAGGATCAGCAGTCATTTGAGAGAATTCTCTTCCTTGTGGAGTATGCGCACTGGTTCTATGAAGACAACACAGTGGAAAAAAATCCATCGCTGAAGTCACTGAGTCTGAAGGAGTTCACTTCTCTATGTATCCTATATCTGATGACACTTTTTTGTTGTATAATGTGTTGCTAGGACTAGACATCCACCACTTAAAAGCGTGGGTTCCACATAATATTTTTTTGAGCTCACACAGGCAAAAATTTGGGTTGGTATACTCCCCTAGTTTATGTTATGATTACAAATATCTTGACTTCTATCTCATCTAATCTTTACCATTAGGATTTTGTAACAGGTAGTTTGAGGCTGAGCTTATACTAATAAGCTCCAAGTTGAAGGTTAGAGTTTATGCTATTAAATGTAACATAAGTCTAGATTTTTTTACTTGACATGATGACATCTTATTTTACTCTTGGAAGACTATCTTTATGGCAGTTTCCGACTTCCTTTTGTTATACCATGCTATTAGCATGGTCTGTTTTTTATTTCTCTGCTGTCTATATTCTCTATTTCCTTACTTCTCCGGGGAAAAAAAGGACTCTATTTCCTTAACTTGTTCCAGTGTTTAACAACTGCGATGTTTTAAGGCCTTACGTTGCTCATGTAGATGATATCTTTAAAGATTTCACTGATTATAAGGTTCGAGTTCCTGTAACTGGGGCAATTATTTTGGATGAAACATATGAACGGGTAAGTCTCTTCCTTTTGCTATATTAAAACAAAAAGTCCTTTGACCTCTCTAGTTTTGTTTCTTTTAGTAAATGCCACTTTTATGCCCCCTTTTTTATCCAGTTTAACAAGTTGACTTCATGGTGCTCAACTTTAACACTCTTAATACACATCAGGGAAATACATTCATGTATTTGTGCTAAAGAGCAGAAGTTTCCTGTTCTCTCTCTCTCTCTGTTTCTCTCAATTCCTCTTCTTCACTCTTTCCAAAAAATTCCAATCTTTTGATAATTTATCAGAGATTTTTCTGTTAGTGCATCTGTATTTCTTGGGTTTTTCATTCAAATATTGTTTTCTAATTGATTGAACTCAAGGAAAGCTATTCTTTGCAATTGAGTTCAAGTTGTATTACATTTTCTAGGATTGTCATATTTGTTGATGTCAATTAGTGAACTTTCATTCTAAGATTGTTTTACTTGTGTTTTTTTTTTCTGCATTTAATAGTGCATCCTAGTGAAGGGATGGAAAGGGACAAGCTGGAGCTTCCCACGTGGAAAGAAGAACAAAGACGAGGAGGACCATGCATGTGCCATTCGAGAAGTAAGCTTATTCACATGGATTTGATTTTATTATTATTAACTAATTTTTTTGTGTACGGATCGAAACTGACTCCTAAAGAATCAGATTGGAAAAGTATTTATTTTGATAGAAGTTTAACCTTTTGCACACAAGATGATCTATCCTATGTTGTATGAGCTCTTCAGAGAGTAATATTAGACTCTACTAGGTAATGCCGATGGCTATAGATTTAACGGTTGCTTCAGAATGATATTGCTCTCTAGTTGTAAATTATGTAGCTGCAGAAGAAACGTGGAATGTACATTATTTTATTAACTAGCTTTTTTGTCTGTTCATTCACCTCTCAATAGTAAAAGCTGGAGCAAGGTTTACAATCTCTCTATTAAACCTGTCATTGAACTTCATTTGGCATGGAGCCAATGGATATGTAAATTATGAACTGTAATTTATTCATTGCATGCTTCCCTTATTGTTTAGAGAACTAAAGAGTTGATGTTACTCTACTAATAAGATGTATCGAGTTTCTGGTGATAAGAGAATCCAGATAACTACTAATTAGTCATTGACTTCTTTTACATCTCTTTTCTTTCTCTATCTATGATTGTTGATGTACATTCAATGAAAATACAGGTCTTAGAAGAAACAGGCTTTGATGTTTCAGCTCTCCTAAACAAAGATGAACACATCGAAGTAATATTTGGCCAGCAGAGGGTGCGGCTATATATTATTGCTGGTGTAAAGGATGATACAGCCTTTGCCCCACTTACAAAAAAGGAGATCAGTGTATGTGTTTCTTTTGTTGATAAGATCAATGCCCTGATAGAAGTCTAATTTTAAGCAACCCTTCTGTATGTAGTTGCTATTTTCCTCAACTTCAGAAGATATATCCAATTAACTGGTGTTTAGAATGATCAATTGTCAAGAAACTCCCCGTTTGCACTGTTTATAATGATTAGTACCTGTCAACAATAAACACAGGACATTTGCATTACCTCTCATTACTGGGTCTTTCACTGCCTCATGGAAATGACAAAAATTAAAGGAGACCTTTAGGAAACTGCCAAGTGATTAAGAGGATATCTGAGACATTGCATTTGCATCTCTTAATAAGTAAAAATGTTGACAGCCAGCTTGGCATTGTTGCAGGAAATTGCTTGGCACCGGCTTGATGATCTTCAGCCAGCAACTAATGAAGTAATATCTCGTGGGATCACTGGCCTAAAGCTTTATATGGTGGCACCCTTCTTAGCGTGAGTATTTTGTTTTTAC